AGACCGGTTCCCGCTCACTGGCTGAGCGAGGCGCGGGAGCGACACCGAGGGTTGCAATCCCGTTGCCGGTCCCCAGTCCGGTGCGGGGGCAACATTGAGGGTTGCGATCCGTTGCCGGACACGGAAAAAAACAAAAGACCAAAAAAAAAAAAAAAGAACATGCTCTCACCTGATGGGCTGCCCTCGGTCATATGACTTCCTTCGGGTCAAAGGGGACGTCTCTGTGCCTCGAGACTGCCGGGGGCTAGAACAGAAGGGTCTAGTGAGGCCCAGACTCAACCCCGGCCCGCCCTGCCCCACATTCCTGGCTCCCCTCCTTACAAAGTGCTGCCCCGAGTGGGCAGGCTGACGGTGCGTGAGACCTTGTCCCGGTAGTAGGAGTCTCGGATGGAGAAGCCCACTCCGTCCTCTTTGATCTCCACAAGGGAGGCCAGGGACTTGGTGATGTTCTTGGTGGAGATGTCAAGTGGGGGACCCAAGCACTCAGCCGACACAGCCTTCATCTGGGCAGACAGCTTCGGCTCACCCTGGTGAAGGAAGGACAGGGGTGGACCAACCTGCCCAAATGGATGGCACATAAAGGGGGAGCCGGGGGGGATTCTAAAGAGGGAAAAGGTGCGACCTTGCCCTAAGGTAGAGAAGCAGATGGAAGGACCCAGGCAGATGTCACCCAGAGACCCCTGTGCTCCTCACCTAAACTCTCAAGGCTTCCAGAGAATCCAGAGCAACTGAAATGGTTCAGACTGCAGACACAGTCTTACTATGCAGACACAGAACGCCCAGACTGACTTCTCTGCTTGCCACCAGCTCATCCGTTTACTCACTGTTGTGTGCATGATCCACTGTTCCCATCTGCAGCCCTGTCTCCCTTCTCTCTTTAATAAATCCTGTCTTGGTTCAGCCTATAACTGATCCCTCCTGTTAAGTTACCTCCCTTATTGTTGACTGCCATACTGATGACTCAGCTCTCTGCATGCAAGAGAATTAGACATCTAGAGTTAGGCTCTGACTCACAGTCAAAGGCAGAGTCACAGGCGGGAAAGGGGGAGATTTTTTAATACAGAACCTCTGGTTATGGTGATGTCCCTAGACAGAGTGGAAACAGAGGCCAGCAGTGGCTCCAGCCACTTTTTCTGCCTTCCACCCACCTCAGAAAGAATGGGCTGTAACAGGTTACATATCTGGGCACCCCCCAATGCCAGGCTAGATCTTTCTTGGCACCTTCATCCCATCTGGGGGCAATATTGGGTTGGGGCTGGGGGTGAGGGCAGAGCCACAGTAAGGTGGGGACCAGGTTGCAGGGAGGCTGGCCCTGCTGCATCTACTGCCCGACTTCCGTAGGGCTCACCTTGAACTTGAAATCATCGTGGCTCGTGGAGCCTTTCATGGTGAATGACTGGGAGAAGCTGAAGAAGAAGCAGAGAGAGCTCAGGATGCTGATACTCTACGCTCTGGCTCTCTGGGACTTAGACTCAGGGTCCCAAAAAGCCCCCAAATCAAGGCTCAGCTCTGGGACCTTCTGGCACCTCTCCCCCAGCAGCCCCAGGCACGTGCTGCGAGCCAGCTGCGCACTCCCAGCTTGGACACTCACCTGCCCTCAGAGAACTCCGAGACCTCCTCATCTGTGCTGGCATAGCCGTTCTCTGTGGGAGGGCAGGAAGGAGGGTTGAGAGGACGCGCTGGAGTGTGGAGCAGGGCGTGGTGGCCTCGCTCCTGCATCTCACCCACTGGGAGCAAACTGGGGCTTCTGGGGGAGTTCTGGGGAAGCAATGGCCGCCCTGAACGCGCTGGAGTGTGGAGCAGGGCGTGGTGGCCTCGCTCCTGCATTTCACCCACTGGGAGCAAACTGGGGCTTCTGGGGGAGTTCTGGGGAAGCAATGGCCGCCCTGAGGGCCAGAGCCAGAGAGCAGTGGGAACACCGAGGAGCTGCGAGGCCGTCGCCCCCACGCCTCCTACCCTGCTGCACGTTGTAGATGAGTGCCTGCAGCTCGGGGTGCGCCTCGGCCTTCTCGCGCAGGGCATCCAGGAGCAGGTGGTTCTGGGAGGAGCCCGCCATATCCGCCTGCCTCAGCCGTCCCTCCAGCAGCCGGATCTGGGCCTCCTTCTGTGCCACTTGCAGCCCCTGAGGGAGGGCGCAGGGTCTGGGTTACCCTTCCTGGCCTGGGGCTATGGGTCCCCCCATCTCACACAACATGCTCCCCACAAGACTCCCTGGACAGGTCCTTTCTAGCTCCCAGGCAAACCTTGCAGCTGTCACAGACCTAAGAGGTGACCCCCAGCCCCCTTAGCTCCCATTACACACATTAGTGGAGGCTGCTTTAGTTAGGACACACCCTGTTATGGGCTGAATTGTATCCCTCTGAAACTCACATATTGAAGTCCTAACCCTCAATAACTCAGAATGCGACTATTTGGAGATGGGTCTTTTAAAGAAGTAACTAAGGTAATATGAGGTCATATGGGGAGTCCTAATGCAATATGACTGAGGTCCTTATAAGAAGACATTAGGACACAGACATGCACAGAGGAAAGACCACGTGAAGACACAGGGAGGAGGAGATGACCATTTACAGCCAAGGAGAAAGGCCTCAAAAGAAACCACTCTACCAACACCTTGATCTTGGACTTCCCAGCCTCGAGAACTGGGAGAAAAGAAATCTCTGATGGTCAAGCCTCCCAGGCTGTGGTACTTTGTTATGGCAGCCTGAGCAGACTAATATAAGTCCCCAGACACAAAGCAGAGCTGAAAGGAGTGCGCTGCAGATGAGGTGAGGAGTCCAGGGGGGCAGAGTCTCCCACCCTCTTTCCAGAGTAACACCACATGTGCACTATGTGGCATCTGTCCCCAAAGACCACAAGTCCCAGGAGGGAAGGAAGCACATCCTTCGGCCAGCTCTGTCAGGGAGAGAGGGGAGGAGCCCCCAAAATGCCAAGGGACACATGATATTCTGGTGTAAACCCTCCTTGGTAGAATGTGGTCTGTCTCCTGCTCCTGCACCCCACCATACACACATTTCTCCCTCCATCCCCAAGAGATACGAGGCCAGCCCCACTGTGGATAAGCCTGGGCCAGACACATGGGTCACAATTTATCAAGGCCCTGCTGTGTGCCAGTGCTATGCCAAGCTCTTTATGTGCATCATCTTGTTACAGCCACACAAGCTACAAGCTTGGTACTGTCATCATCCCAGCTTGATAGCTGCAGAATCTGAGCTCAGAGGCCAGGCAGCTTGCCTAGCCTGGAAGTGGCACGGGTGAGGAAGAGCCAGGCCTGTGGGCTTCACCATGAGGGTTTATCACGGAGGCGCCTATGCCCGCTGGGTTCCCTGCACAGGTGAGCTGCTGGCTCACCTTGTCAATGGATGCCTTGAGGAAGTTGTCCAGTAGGAGGCGGGCTTCAGCCAGGGAGCAGGAGCTGATGACCACCGATGTGTCCGTTGAGTCCAGCTCCTCCTAGGACCAGGAGGCAGAGACCACCGTCACCTGGGGCTGCCCCTGCCCACTCATCTCTCCCACCTCCATCTGGGCCAGGCCTGGTTCTGGAGGCACCTTGGTCTCCTCCAGCTGCATGATGGTGGCCTGGCAGTCAGTGATACTGTCATTGATGTAGTCGATGTTGGCTGCCAGCACCTCAATCTCCTCAGCCAGCTCCTGCAGCCCCTTCTCCTCCTCTGGGCTCTCAGCCTGCAGCCGCTCCCTCTTCCTCCGCAGTGCCTCCTGCAGGAGGAACAGCTCCTCCCTTTTCTGGGGGGTGATTGCGATGGAGAGGCCTCAGGGAGCTGCCCAGCCCTGCCCACAGCTCCCACCCCAGGCCAGCCGTGAGGTCCTCCCAGCACCTCTGGATTACAGTGCAGGCTCAAGGAACAGAGAGAAGGGGAGAAATCTGAAGTGCCAGATAAATCAGAGGTGACAGAGGAGAGGTGGCAGAGTGGGACAGGAGAGAAGGGGGAGGCTGGGACCACCTTGATGAGCCGCTCCATGTCAGCCTCCAGGTTGACAATGGTCATCCTCTGCATGACGATGTCAATGATCCGCCGCTCCAGGGACTGCCACTTGAGCCTTGCAGCCTTGCTGAAGCTCTGGCTGGCCCCTTTCTTCTGGAACTTCTTTCTGGGAGGCAGAGGCAAAGGCGAGTGGGTGAAACTACCCTAAACCTTTGCAGCTCCTCCAAGACCCCACCTGGAGCTGACAGTCACGGGACTCGGAGGACTTTCCCAAAGCTTCCCTCTCGCTTGCCCTGGTCTTGCCCTCTTACTTCCACCCCCTCTGCCCACCCAGGTCAGGGTACACCAGTCCACCTTACCTGGCAGGGCGGGTGCCATTGACAGTGGGTACAGGGTGGTCCCCCAAGAAGTGGTTGATCTTGCGGTTCCACTGGCGCACGATGTTGGAAACGGAGCGGGCCCCTGATTCGGCCTCGGACGAAGTGGTGCTGGCCGACACCTCTGCCCCAGAGTCCAGCATGGGTGGCTTCAGTCCTGTGCGCCCTGCCACCCGCTCAGACATGGGCTTGGCCAGGCGCCTCAGTGCAGAAACCTGGCGGGAGGAGGGGGCAAGAAAAGAGAGCCGGTGAGCAGGGTGGCCTGCAGACACCCGGAAAGGCCCAGGTTGGGGCTGCCAGGCTGGGGGAATACAGGAGCTGCTCTGTGCCAAAGGGTCTCTGTTTGACATGAAATGAACACAAAAGAGACTTCCACCTTTTAAAATTTTTTACATGAACAGCTCAGACATTTGGGAACAGAGCCCGAAGCCCTCTCGCCTCTGCTCGTTTGCTGAGAAAGGCCTCCTAACAGGGCTGACACAATTCAGGCACCAACTGTGCTTGCTGAATGAAAGGAGGAGAGCCAGGGCCAGCGGCGGGCCTGCACCCCTCTCCCTGCCAGCTCGGGCAGAACTGGGAAATGGGGCAATGCCTGCGGCAGGGCAGGGGCCTCCCACCCAGACCCCCAGGAGTGAGCTCACCTCCTGCGTTTTCCTCCTCAGGACCATTTCCTGCTGCCGCTTCTGGGACTCCAGAGCCCGGATCTGAAACTGTGGGTGAGAGCATACGGTGGGGTCCATACTCAGCACTTAAGCCCCTTCTGCCTGTGCTGGGATGGGGATGGGTTGGCCAGCTTGTGGCTGAAAGCCTGGGCTGCAGGGTGATTCTCATGCAGCCAAATTGTGGGTAAAATAGCACCCAGCATTGAGCTCCCCTTCCCAGAGGTCACAGTGAAGTCCCCTTTCTCTGCAAGGGCAACTGCCTGGACCTCTTCTCTCCACCACTGGTGAGGAATTCTGGACTAGAGGACTCAGCCTTGCTGGGACTCTGCAGAGCCTGACATTTCTGGCTTGCTGGTAACCCCAGGCAATTTCCTGATCCTCTCTGGGGCTCAAGTCCCCCCTCTGAACATGTGGGGGCCAGACCAGAAGCTCACAGTGGCCCTGCCCTTCTCTGAGAGGTTGCACTCTACCCCAGGCATGATCGTTACCACTCAGGACAGCAGGAAGGAGGCCCACTCGGTCAGAAGAAGCAGCCGGGTGCACAGGACCTGGGGGCTGGGGCTGCAGTCTCCTGGGACCTTCAAGGATTGTCCCTCACCTCCTGTCGCCGCTGCTCCTTCTTGAGCTGAGCGATCTCCCGGTTCCTCTTGGTCTCCACCAGTCGTCGCCGCTGCTGCTCCTCACGCATCTGCTTCATCAGGGCCACCTGGACGGGCAGAGGTGGCGGTGGTAGGCAGGGCTGGGCAGCACGTGGCCCACACCCTCCAGGGAGTGGTGGGCTCTGAGGATGTGGGCTGGGGGGGACAACGTGCCAGGCAACAATGGCTCAGGGCTCAGGATCCTGGAGCAAGGGGTCCACCCCCCACTCCTCCATAGGTGATGAAGCCACCTGAGGCAATCTGGCAGAAGGAATGGCCTTACAGCCAGCCTAAAGGAGCAGGTGCTCCCACTCTTCAAGGTCCAACCCTGGACCCCACCATTCCAAATGTCACAGCCCCCGGTGGCTCTCACCCAAAGCCACTGTCCTGGGTCTGGCCATTCTAGGACCGGCCTAGGTTTCTGGAGGCAGGTAATCCTCTCTGCTACTGACAGCCTCAACTGTGGACAGGGCTGAGATGGAGGTCAGGTCCAGATGCCAGGGCCAGACTCACGGTGACAGCAATAAAGACCATCATTATTTATTGAAAACTGGCTATATGCCAGGCACCATCCTCATGACAATCATATGAGGCATTACTGTTCCTGTTTTGTAAACAAGGAAATAAGCCTCAGAGAGACAAATGATTTAACGACATACAACTAGTAATGGATGGGCAGACTTAGAGCCCAGGTGATTCTGCCTCCCAAATCCACCTCCCCCTACAGCCCCAGGAACGGTACCACGGCAGTTCAGAACAAGGCTAGGGATCAAGCATGAATAGCCTGCAATCTGGAATTCTCAGAAGTCTAGCCAAAGGCATGAAGAACACCATTAATGTGGCCAGACATGACCCAATGTGCCAGAAAACTACTGACAGGGGTCCTGCAGCGTCCACCTCCCCATTCCTGGTGCCTACAGCATAAGAATGCAATGTGCACGGGGCTTTAGACACCTTTCTAGAGACAGAACATGAGAAACTAGGGGATCTTGCTCTGCCACTGGACTGCCAACTACCTGCCCTGCCCTGAGGATAGTCAGGAAAGGAAATGGTGCAGGAGGGAAGGAAGCAGGCCGTAAAGGGGCTCGTGGCTTGCAGGGTCAGATTCTCCCTCAGAGGGCAGGCTCTGTTGGGGTGAATCCACAGTGAAGAGAAGGGGTTGCTGCTGTTGGGGTCCAGAACGAATATTCTCCAAAGGGCTGGGACTGGGTAGAGCAAGTCAGACCCTTGGTTACACGTGGACCTGAAAGCTCTAGCACACCAGGAGCTGGGTGCAAACCCAAGATGCCAGGTATCTTCTGAGGTCAGGGATCTGAGGCTTCTGGGGGAGATTCTGTCTCCCTGGTCAAAGGCCCATCCACCCAACTTTGCGTGTGTGGCCGAGCTCTGTAGAGGCCACCACAGAGTGATGGTCTCAGAACAGGTGAGTGCGTTCCAGGCACACAATAATACTAAAATGGAATACAGTACCTGAGACGAGCATTGCTCCACGAATCTAAAGTAGGAGGCAGTGTGTTCTCTCCCTAGGAGACCCTGTGGCTACAGGCCCCACCCTGGCTCAGTTCCTTGAATCACTGGGGCCCTGCAGCTGAACAGTGCTGGGAAGATTCTCGGGCCCTGGCTCTCATGGCATCTGGGTAAAATCCTTGGCCTCTACACCCTCTGTCCTTCCAACATAGAAACCCACCCTGGCTCAGTTCCTTGAATCACTGGGGCCCTGCAGCTGAACAGTGCTGGGAAGATTCTCGGGCCCCGGCTCTCATGGCATCTGGGTAAAATCCTTGGCCTCTACACCCTCTGTCCTTCCAACATAGAACCTGGGTCCCCGCTAAGGCACCCTCGGGATGACCCAAGGGTGTTCTTTTCAACTTCTAGCCCTGGGCTCACAATAGCATAGTCATGTGGCCAGAGCTAGGCACCTGGCTGAGGGGACTCAGCAGTCCTGAGACTGAAACACAGGTATACATGTGGATCCTTCTGTCTTTCAAATGTATCCTGGGCCTTACATCATTTTTCCAGGCTTCAGAGCCATAGAAAGACTTTCCCTCATGAGGCCCTCCAGGGCTTTCCCCAGCTGAGATGTGAGCTGGCCAGGACAGACTGGGGCCACCCTGTAGAGGCATTAGCCAGGAACCTCCAGGGAGACAGAGATGGGAATGCAGACATGAGCACCCAGAACTGCTCCAGGAGCTGCTGCGGGGTGCACAGGCCCACAACACGTGTGCTATCGCACCCTGGGGACAACCAAGGCAGACCAGTCTCTGCCACTACATCACCAAAAGGCACCTGGGGCTCCAGGTGATCTGTGGGTACCTGAGTTCCTAGTCCCCTCAGTGTTATCTTGGCAGCCCTGTCTCAATACCCCACAGTGTGGATGCACTGAAGTAGAAGGGAAGATGGGGCCTGCTCAGG